ATCTGATACGCCATCTTCGCAGTGAATTAAGGCCATTCCTAAAGACTTGCTAACCTGATCATGTTTTTCTCACAGGAGGTAAATATCTAGAACCTCACACTTCTTGTAAAAGCAACCAACCTTTGCCAGCAACATTAAATCAACTTGACCATAAGCAGGCTAAATTTCAAGTATGTAGAACATGAAATAATTTTCCGTGAAATTTTAAGTTTCTTCTACATAGGTTATCCCTTTTGTTATTTACTATTTAAAGCTTTTTAAAAAATCATTATTTCTCAGCTCCATCCCATTGAAAAGTACTGCAAAGACAACACACCCACAGTGAAGCCATCTACGTGACACCAAAGAGCAAACACCCAATAAGAAGCAGGCGCAGACTGGCAGGAGTTTCTCATGAGGACAAGAACTGTTCTCAGCAATTAAATTTATTCCCATTTGTGTGTTTTGTGACATAGACAAAGAAAGCAGAAACTAACTCACCAACCTATAGGGAACGTAAATCAAAGTTATTATTTTAAAAATACAGGGTATTAAAAGGCCCAGAGCAGAAGAATAATAGCAGGAAAATCTTTGGTTCCTTCCACCTGCCCTGGATTCTTGGGTTGCAGCTTCTCTATCAGCTAATTTTCTCTCCGTGTGGGGTTTTACTTGGTGTGCATTGCTCTCCACTGCCATTTCTACCCCTGTAGTTTTTTAAAGGAGATAAAGCAACTGTATAAGAATGCCTAACGACATCAAAGCCCGAAAGCTTCACTGGTTGTGTGTGGCATAGGAGGAAGAGGAGGAAAACGTGAGGTAATGAGGATCTACTGTATTTACCTTATGTGCAGGGCATGTGGACAACAATAGAAACCATGCAGGGGGCACGTTTGGTCAAAAAAGAACATGGCAGCCTAATGGGAGGCCTTTGTTCTTCAAAAGGGTCTCCTTTCCCCCTTTTGTGTTTCACCTAATTCATGGCATCTGAGCTGCTCTTGAACTTGACAGACTGAGAGAAAGAGAGGGAGAAGAGCGGGGGAGTTGAACACACAAAGGGAAGAGAAAGGGGGGACTTCAAAAGGAATTCATTTGAAAAAATTAGTTCTCTTGCCAGTTTTGATGAAGTTTGGGAACTTTAAAGGAGTTAGAGAATATCATTCAGGGTTGAAATAAATTTAATTTTCCCAGAGATTGTAACAAGAAATAACATAGATATATAAGGAACAAAATGAATTGTGTCCTTAGAATCTGTTACAATTTTTTTCTGCTACACCACAGCTCTTAAAATAACAGTAATATAACTGTTGATTCTCAACAATTACAAGATAGCATTCTACAAGCAGAACCAGTAATTAAATAATTTTCCAGTTTAGGGGAATTTTACTTGAGTGGTAAACAGCATCAAAAACTCTGCAAAACCACCAGCACCACCTGCAGGATAAACACAGATGAGCATTCTGCAACATTTCAAATCCTAGTATTTAAAAAGACAAAAAAAAAGTCACATTAATCTTTGACACTTTCACTTTTTGAGAGAGAGAGAGAGAGAACACAAGAGCGGGGAGCAGCAGAGGGAGAGAAAGAAGCAGGCTCCCCGCTGAGCAGGGACCTGGAGCCAGGGCTCCATTCCAGGGTGCCTGGATCATAACCCAAGCTGAAGGCAGACGCTTAACCAACTGAGCCACCCAGGTGCCCTGACACTTCCAATTTAAAGTCAAGAACTAAAAAATATTAGGGGCACTTGGGTGGCTCAGTCGTTAAGTGTCTGCTTTCAGCTCATGTCATATACCCCAGGGTCCTGGGATCGAGCCCCACATCAGGCTCCCTGCTCAGCGGGGAGTCTACTTCTCCCTCTCCCGCTGCCCCTGCTTGCGTTCCCTCTCAGAGACTGTCTCTGTCAAATAAATAAATAGAATCTTTAAAAAAAAAAAAAAAAAACTAAACTAAACTAAAAAGAATCTTAAAAATCAGAGAAAAACTTCAGATGGAGAAAAAGCCTTAGGAACCTTTGGCCAATTTTAGGTATCCATGAATATAAATACAGGAGTCAAAGATCCTTAGTTATGTTATGTATTAATACAAAAGGCTACTTCAAAACAATAAAAGATCACGGCTTTAAAAATGATTTATTTTGCGGTGCCTGGGTGGCTCAGTCAGTTAAGCCTTCGCCTTCAGCTCGGGTCATGATCCCGGGAGTGCCAGCTGGGCAGGCTCCCTGCTCGGGGCAGAGTCTGCTTCTTCCTCTGCCCCTCACCCCACTCGTGCCCTCTCTCTCAAATAAAAAAGTAAAAATAAACTATCTTTAGAAACAATTATTTCTTTATGGTCATATTTCAATTTCATCTTACAAAAAAATTACTACACAACATCATTACTCATCAAAGTATCTTCAGAAAGCACTGGGTATTTCCAAATCCACCCTCAGAAGAAAACGTGGTACCAATAAGGAGATTTTTTAAAGACTTTCCTATGGGTTTCGAAAGCATCTGTTAAAAACGTAGGCTCGCATAAACAGATAACCTTGTCAAGGGAACTACTTTGCAGATGTAGCTTTCAACCGGACTTGTGAGCATGCACGTGTCAGTCATGTGTATTTGTTTAAAAGTTAAGACCCACCATTCTGATCAGAGCCTGCGTGGACAAGAAGCTGTGTCAGATGCGGCTCTAACAGAGTAACTGTAGGTTTGGCTCTGACAGATCCCATTGTTCTGGACCAGATAACTCTGCCGGGGGGAGGAGGGCTAATCTGCGCAAGGTGGGGCGTGTTAGCAACATTCCTGGCCTCCAATGACTAGTGCCATCAGCACCACCGCACAAGTTACAAGGCCCAAAAATGTCTCCACACATTGTCAAATGCTCCCCAAAAGGCAAAATCATCCCTCACTGGAGAACCACTACCCTAGGCTAACTAAAACAACTACTGCATGCTCATTTTACTTCTGCAAGCATGGTCTCACACGTTCAATTTTATAAAAGTAACAAATATGTTAAGCACTTGAAATATTTATCAAATTCTTAATAACCTGCACACCACATTCTACAGTCACCAGTGAATATGACGGCACCAGTAGACACAGACTTTAAAAAAAAAAAAGAAAAAGACTCATCTGGTTACTAACATATCAACAGCTAACAATTACGTTTCATGTGGTTTAACGGAAAGAACACTGAAGTTGTTAAGCGAACTAGGAACTGTGAACTATCCAAGTATAGATCTTGAACCCAACATATATCCAAAACGTATCTTGAATCCATCATTTCTCTGCAACTTTCACAACCTTCATTTCCGCCAACATCATGACTCATCCAAAGAGCCAGTTTCTACTCAGCTTTTACTCTAGACCATTCCAACCCCTTCTCCATCCATCCATCCATTCAACTAATATTTACTGAACGTCTGCTATATGCCAGGCATTCCATGCACTGAGAATACACTGGTGCACAAAATTTTCTTACAGAATACTTTACCTACGGAAACTTCAATTCTAATATAACATATGTGGGAGGGCAGTAAGAGGCAGAACAAGCAGGCAGGGAAGGATGGGCAGGAGTGGAGACTGGTGTTACACAGAGTGGCCGGGGATAGACTCACCAGTTGTATGAAGACCTGAAGAAAGTCAGGAAGTGAAGCATGTGGATATGGAGGAAAGTATCCCAGGCAAAGAGAAGAGCAAGTAGAAAGACCCTGAGGTGGCAGCATGCCTCTACGTTTTACTGTGCATGAAATGGGAAACCACGAGGAAATTTGGAGCAGAGAACTGTGTTCTAACACTTTAAAGGAAAACACCATGGGACTACGTCAAGAATAGGCTGTAGGGCTATAAGGGCGGAAGCAGAGACCAGTTAATTTACACGAGCTTTAGACCAGAGTGGGGTAGTGAAGATAAGAAATGGTTAGATTTTAAGATATATTATTAATCGCAAATTAATATTTTTAAAAACATAAATGGCTTGTGCTATTTCTCAACTCAAAAGCCCTTCAGCTGCCACTTTCTTCCCACTGCACTTTCTATAAAATGAAAAATCCTTAATATGACCTAAACAGCTCTGTAAGATCTGGTCTCTGCCTAACTTTTCGAGCGTCATCTGACTTCTCAGTAATCAAAACACATTCTGGCCACACTGATCTTTCTTTCAGGTTCTCTACTATCCCAAATTCTTTTCCATGGGGCAGGGCTTCATGCATACCGTTCTCTCAGCCTGAAAAGCGCTTCTCACTCGTGGCCTGGCTCTCGCGATCTCCACAGTGCTCACATTTCAATTCGCAGCTTGGAAAATTCACTTCCACGAAAAGACCTTCCCCAACGTGTCACTCTGAATTTGCTTTGCCCCCCCTTGCCCCATTATATTCTCCCCAAGTACCCCAAAGGACTCTTCCTCGATAGGGCCGCTCACCCTGGTTAGTAATTACAACACTGGTTTAATTATACTTCATGGTTAATGTGTGTCTCTCAAGACTGCGGGCTATCAGGAGCGGAGACTACGTCTGTGTCACTTACCATCACAACCACAAGGTGTGACACAACGCCTCATACCTAGCAAGTACAAAAAATAATTTTTGAACAAACGATAATGCTTTCATCACAGCTCTGCCAGACATAATCTAGTCACTTAAGTTCTCAGGGCCTCAACATACTTTTCCCCCTTTTTTAATCTTATGACTATAAGAAAGTCATAGAAAACAGAGTAAATGAGACAAATAGGACACCACAAAAGTTTTAGGAACAGTTTTCCTGAAGCAGTCAGGGAGTGGGAGAGAGAAACGAGGGAGGGCCTTGATTGCTGGGTTATTAACTTCAGACTTCATTCAGTGGCCAAATGAAGGGTGTTGAAGGCTTTTTGAGCTTTACAATGCTACAAGCAGAACAGCATATTTGGAAAATTAAGCTCTCTGTAGTGTATAACTAACTGAAGAAGAATCCGAATGCAAAAATTTAATCAGAATCCAAACGCAACAAGTACTTCTGCTCTTTCTGCCATCTTGGAGCCTGTGGAGGCCTACTGGGAATGGGGCTTCTAAAATGACAATTATTTCTGAAAGGCTATGGTCCAAGGCCATTTCTGCTGGTGGTAAGTGCGGTCTCCAGAACAAGAGAGAACACACAGCTCTTCCTAAAATTGAAGGTGTTCATGCTCGAGATGAAACTGAACTCTACCTAGGCAAGAGATGGGCTTATATGTACAAAGCAAAGCGCGACACGGTGACTGTTGGTGGCAAACTGAACAAAACCAGAACAATCTGGGGAAAAGTAACTCATGCTCATGGAAACAGTGGCATGGTCCCTGCTGAATTCCAAAGCAATCTCCCTCCTAAAGCCATTGGCCACAGAGTCCATGTGATGCTACACCCCTCAAGGATTTAAACTTACTGAAAGGTAAATAAAGGTGTAGATTTGTTCTCTTGTAGTTTTGTTAAAACAAAACAAATGCAACAATGACTTCTGACAGTGGGGAAGCCCCCAAAGAAATGCTAGTCATATAAAAAAAAATTTTTTTTTTTAAAGGTTTTATTTATTTATTTGACAGACAGAGATCACAAGTAGGCAGAGAGGCAGGCAGAGAGAGAGGAGGAAGCAGGCTCCCTGCTGAGCAGAGAGCCCGACGTGGGGCTCGATCCCAAGACCCTGGGATCATGACCCGAGCCGAAGGCAGAGGCTTTAAGCCACTGAGCCACCCAGGCGCCCCTAAAAAAAATTTTTTTAATTAGAATCCAACAGGTAAATAGGGCCTCAACTACTTTTAAGAGGTAGTTGAATGTAAGAACGCAAATATATATTCTTTCTTACATAATAAATGAAGATTCTTAGCATTATTTAATGTCCAAATTAAGCTTATGTTTGTTTTAATTATATTTTATACAGAAAACAAAAAGGGACCAACAACAAAAAAACACTTGGATTTTCCTGTTCATTCATTACCTACGATGTAACCAGATTAATCTTCCAAAGCACGGCTCACGTCATATTACTCAGAAAACTTCAGTGGCTCCCCACTGTCTACGGAATTAAGTCCAAACACCTTGGCCTGATATTTAAGACTCTATACAAACTGACCCCAACTTACTTGCTTTTACTCCCCTATATTCTAGCCAAACTGAACTACTTTTGCTCCACCACAGCCAGCTTTTTCTGTCTCTACTAGACCTTGGTTCATACTGTTCCATCTTTCTGAAACACAATTCCACCCTCCACACCAACTTCACCTGTCAAATCCTACCTTCCTATTTCAGGGTCCAGGTCACATGCTACCTCCCCCAGTCTCTCTCCAACCCCCACCAAGTACAAAACAACTTCTACAGACACCCACAGCCCCAGTGCTTTGTAACTTACTCCATGCTTATGTTGAATGACTTTCTCCTTATATGTTTGATCTTCCCAATTAAATCATCAATAATTTCTAGTCCTTTTTGTGAAAGGAAGATGGATACTTATGTACACAAAATTAACAACTGCATTTACAGTTTGTAAACTGTTCTAATAGCCTATTCCTTTTGAGGGCAGGAACTGTTTCTGATTCATATTTTTTTTCTTGCAACTCTTTGAACAAAGTGTCTGTTTAAAACTCTTTGTGTAATAAGACTCAAAAATTTTAAGTTAAATATAAATTTGCCCCTTCTCACTCCAGTCTTGTTCACTGAGCCGCATTTAAAGAAAGAACAGGGGTGCCTTGGGGGCTCAGTCAGTTAAGCATCCAACTCTTGATTTCAGCTCAGGTCATGATCTCAGGGTCGTGAGATCAAGCTCTGTGCTGGGCCCCCTGCTCAGCTTGTGATTCTCTCTCTCTCTCCCTCTTTCTGTGGTCCTCCCCCACTCCCTCTCTAAACACACACACACACACAATTATTAAGCACCTGCACTGTAGTTAGCTACTGTGCTAAGAGGCAGTACAGACGATTACTAAGAACTATAAACTACCAACCCTGTCCTAAGAAGCTTATCACTATATTGTTAGGAACATAAGACAATTTCCACAGCAATCAGAAAAGTAATAAAAATGTTATCAAACAATTAAATTCTAAACTATGAATTTCAAAAGAGCTGGCATAGATAACAAGTGCCATGGAAGTCTGGAACAGAGCAACCACAGCTGGCTAGCCTGGACGAAGAATGTTTCTGAAAGGCATAGCTAGACAGGCAAGAAGAGCAAGATTATCCAAAACAATGTGTTCCCTCAGGTTGCTCCAACAGTCATACCCTCCCTACATCTTGGTTTAAAAAATAATGACCTATAAATGTACATGCTCACTGGCCCCATTCACTTTACACAGAAGTCCTCTACTAGCCCTCAGATGTAAAATCCAGAAATCTGAAAACACAGCATTTTCCAAAATACAAAAAAAATCATTTTCTACATTTTCCTCAGGAAAAGAGGGAAATCTCAAAGATGACCATTTAGGAAGTAAAATTAAATTTTAAAAACAAACTAAATAAATCTTTATGGTCCCAGCCTGACTCAGTTTAATAATTACCACCTTAAGCATCAGTAATTGGACAAATTTTAGATGGGGTATAGTTGACTTGAAGTTAATGTTCAACTGTTTGAGATTCGAAGAGTCACTTTTAACTCATTCAAATGAGAAAGAGCAGAGGGCATGGTGGTTTGAAGTTGAGACCCGTGGGCCAGCTGGCCTATGTTCATAATCCCAGGTAATCAGGCCTCCTCTGTGCCTCAGTTTACTCATCTCTAAAATGAGAACAAAAAACAGCTCACTCCTAGTATGGTTATGAGACAAATGAACAAATGCATCAAAGCATCAGTAATATGTATAGTAATCTAGCACAGAGCGAGCAACCAAAAGACCGATTACTATTATCCAAAGGAATGAAGGACACTAACTCAGTCAGGACGACCTAGGCACTAACACACTGTAACAGTCCCCCCCTTACCCATGGAGGATACATTCCACCACCTCCACCGGATGCTGAAATCTCAAATAATACAGAATCCCAACATACGCTGTTTTCTCTTTACATACATACATAACTGTGATAAAGTTTCATTTAAAAATTACGCACAGTAACAGATTAACAATAACTAATAATGAAACAGAACAACTGTAACAACATGTTGCTATCAAAGTTGTAGGAATGGACTCTCTCGAGTATCTCACTGTACCGCACTCACACATCACACCGATGATGCGGGGAGAAATGCCCCTGGGATGGGACGGAGGGAGGGAGTGGCGCAGGCGCTGCGGGAGAGCATCGGGCTACTCCTGACCCTCTGCCCAGTTGGAAGGCGCGCCCATGTGCGCCTCCGGACCGCGGCTGACCACGGGGAGCTGCAACCACACAAAGCCAAACCACAGATACAGAGGGATGACGGTAGTAAACAGAAAGTACCAGCTTCAAAAGTAAAAACCAGGCATTTCTACTGTGTCGGGGCCCAGGGTAGGCTGCCCTAAAATGGGCCCCTTTGGCATAAAGATTATTTCGAGTTAAAAGTAGTAAGAACCCAGCAGATGCAGGCAAGACTCTCTGCCTCCCCCAACAGCCTTGATTTACACTGGAAAGAAGAGCCTGCAAGGGCACTGAAGTATTAAGGAGGAACTCCATCATCTGCATGATAGAACAATCTTGTTTCTCCAAACATATCCATTCACCTTCCTGCAGTCTTCTCCCTTTCCTGTGCTCAGGCCCCTCCCTTTTCCCTTAGCTCCTAGAAGCTTCCTGTAGCTGGTCTTCAGAATTTCATGTCTTGTGGATTCCCTGTACGTACGTACATCTATTAAATTTAATTTTCTTCTGTTTGTCTCATGTCAATTTGATTCTAAGTTCAGTTGGAAGGACCCAAAGGGAGGTCTTCCTCCCTGACACTATATATGAAATTCACATTAAAGGAAATGCAGAACCTGTGTACACAGAGAAACTCAATGTATGACAGAGCTGACATTGCATAAAAGCAGAGGAAAGGAAAAAATTTTTCCATCAATCGCACTGGAAGAACTGTAAGACCATGAAAATGTCCTGACCTCACACCATACACAAAAATAAATTCCAAGGTGATTTATGACCAAAAAGTAAAAAAAATAAACTTTATAACTTCAAGTAAATATAAGGCATAAAAGTATAAACCATGAAAGAAAAGGCTGTAGATCCAACAGTATTAAAATTAAAAACTTGTTACTCAAGGTCCATTTAAGAAATGCAAAGATGGGGGCCGCCTGGACGGCAGTCAGTTAAGCTTCTGACTCGTTTTCAACTCAGGTCATGATCTCGGGGTCCTGGGACTGAGCCCCACTTCTGGCTCTGCACAGAGTCTGGTTGGCCCTCTCCCTCTCTCTCTCTCTCAAATAATTCAATAAAATCTTTTTTAAAAAAATGCAAAGACAAACCACAGACTGGGAAAGGATGTTATAACACATAATACCAACAAAGGATTGGAATCCAAAAAATTTCTACAAATCAATGAAAGACAAAACAATCCAATTAAAAATGGGTAAGATATATTAACTGTCAATTCACAGAAGAGAAACAATGACCAATAAGCATATGAAAAGGTGCTTATCTCATTAATAAGAAAGAAAATACAAACTAAACCCCCTATGAGATACCATTTCACAGCCACTGGGACTGGCAAAAATGAAAACTCCTTAGCAAAGATGTGGGAGCAGTGAGAACTACACCACGACTAGGAATGCAAACTGATCCAGTCACTCCAGTAATACCTAGTCAAGCTAACAACAGGCATACCCTACAACACAACAATCTCACTTCCGGTTTATGTGTGTATGTACACATGTGCACATGCATACTTTCTCACCCGTGCACGTGCGCACACATACACACACACACACACAAACCCCTTAACAAAACTCCTGCAGCACATGTACCCAAGGAGACGCACAGCAGCACTGCGTCTAAGTGCCAAGACCTGAAAACATCAGAAATGTGCATTAATAAAAGAATGTGCCAGTTCCTAGCCTCAGCCTCCAGGCCAGGCACACTTCCTCTTGCTTTCCTATAACCCTGCTCAACTGCCTGGAGAGCAACACTGGGCCAACCTTCCGCAGGACAAAACATGAAGCAGAAACCACCTCATCCTGACCCACCCAAACCGGAGCCAATTCCAGCACCTGGCCGGACACAGTGAGCAAGCCCAGCCCTGATGGGCAAGTCACCTGGCTGACCACAGTCTCATGAGCAATGAACCAGTGGTTGCTATTTTAAGTCAGTTAAGTCTGGGGGCTTGTCACAAAGTGACAGATAACAGATACACAAATGGATTAAAGCAATACATATTAATGTGAATAAACTGGACAAATAATACTACATGTAAAAAACTGCAGAAAAATCTAACTTATCATACATATATATGTTTTATTTTTTATTTTTTAAAGATTTTATTTATTTACCTGACAGAG